CCAGGGATTGGCTCCTCGCCCTCTCCCCATCCTGCCCCTCCCCTGCCGGGCCCCACCCCCACCCTCCATCGCCCCCCCTGACACCCCCTGTTTGGCCCCTAGGGCAACATCTGGGAGCAAATCTTCCGCGTGTCCTTCGTCCTGGAGATGATCAACACTCTGCCCTTCATCATCACGGTGGGTGAGCCCCGGCCGCCAGGAGTGTGGCCCCTGGAGCCCCAGCCCTGACCTGTCCCCTTCACAGATCTTCTGGCCGCCGCTGCGGAACCTGTTCATCCCCGTCTTTCTGAACTGCTGGCTGGCCAAGCACGCGCTGGAAAACATGATTGTAAGCCGGGGCGGGGGGGTGCAGCTGGGACCTGGGGGGGCCACCCTCAGCCTCACCGGCCCTGGAAGACACTGTGTGACGTAGCCTGCCACGCCCGGCCCTGGCGTGAGCTGTAGAGGACCAGGAGGCCAGGGCAGCACAAACTCTGTTTCTGCTCCTGGAAAACATCCAAGCCAAGCCCCGAATGTCCTCTTTCCAGGAAGCAACTCAATCCCAGAGCTTCTCCTAACCCTGGAAATTAAATGGCTGGTGGGAGGAGGAGAGACAAAGTGAAGAGTGTGACAAACCCAGGCCACGAGGACCAGGGCCACAAACATCAGGCCACACGCAAACCGGGGCCACGGGGCCACAGGCAGGCCCTGTGCTAAGTGTCTCAGCAAGGTCTCTGTCGTGGGAATGGCAGCAGCCGGTTCCCTAGGCACCCACCCTCTCCAAGCCAGACCCCTTGATTCACAGCCCCCATTCCTGCCCCGGTGGTAAAGCGGCGTTACCATGCTGGGTCCAAGCCATACACACTAACCAGCCCTCTGACCTGAGACTTAAGCTCATCCCCGGGGACGTAGGCAAGATGGGGACCTGTCCTGAGAGAGGACAGCAGAAGGGGGGCCCAGGTGCAGGCTGCTCCGTGGGCCTCAGCGGAGACGCAGGTGTGGCCGGGTGCAGGCTGCTCCGTAGGCCTCAGCGGAGACGCAGGTGTAGCCGGGTGCAGGCTGCTCCGTGGGCCTCAGCCGAGACACAGGTGTGGCCGGGTGCAGGCTGCTCCATGGGCCTCAGAGGAGACGCAGGTGTGGCCGGGTGCAGGCTGCTCCGTGGGCCTCAGCCGAGACACAGGTGTGGCCGGGTGCAGGCTGCCCCATGGGCCTCAGAGGAGACGCAGGTGTGGCCGGGCCGTCTGCTTTCCATTGGCCTTCTAGTTTCTATTCATTGGCTCCTGGTGGGGTTCACAGTCCCTGCCCGCTGATGGCCACCGCTCCTTCCACAGAACGACTTCCACCGTGCCATCCTGCGGACGCAGTCGGCCATGTTCAACCAGGTCCTCATCCTCTTCTGCACCCTGCTGTGCCTCGTTTTCACGGGGTGAGTGCCGGCCGTCAGTGCAAGCACCTCAGAACGCTGGGGAGGGCCTGAGAAGCAAGCAGGGCCGGGCTAGGGGATGCAGATGCCTGTGTCCAAGCAGTCAGGGGGCAGAAAAGGCCACGGTGCCTGGGCTGCGGGTGTCGGACCACCCAGCTGGGACTGAGGTCAGGAGGCAGCTGCAAGCCCACGTCCCCAGTACACGGGCAACCCTGCAGCCCGGGTCCTCCAAGGCCAGAGATACCCAGACCTGGCTTCCTGGTCTATGCCGTGGATGTAGAGAAAGGGACTGGTCCCTGGGCCACGTGGGGGTCTCTTGGCTGAGGCCCAGCTGAAAGCAGGGTTTGGAGGCAGCCGGGGTAAAGGTGGGGATGCCCAGAGCTGCGAGGGCCTCCAGCCCACCCAAGCGTGTCCACTGTGCCCATCTGCCTGTGTTCCTGCTGAGGGCTCCACGTTGCTGCTGTCTTGGTTCCCAGCGAGGCCTAGTCGCCACTTCCCTTCCTCAGGCAGGGATGTCAGGCTAGCACTGTGCCCTGGGGGCAGGGAGAGTGCCCTGTGTTTCCCGCCTCCATTACCCCACTGTCCCTCATGACAGACACAGAGCTCAGTGGGCAGATTGGGGCATCCATGGGGATGGCATCTGGGACCTGGCGGTGACCCCAACCCTGCCCATTAGACCTCCCAGCCTCGGGCCTGGGTGGCTTGTCTGGCTGTGCCTGGCAGAGGCCTGAGTATAGTGGGTAAAGGGGCAAGGCTCCGAGATGGGGGTGGAGAGCCAGACCCACCCCCCCGTGTCACTCAAGGCCACACTGATGACACAGCCCTGCATCCCCCGCTCCCAGAGAATTTTCCAGAGGCCTAGGAGAGCGCCACCGGGCAGGCAGGGAGGCTCCGGGGAATTCGCCATGAACAGAGGCCGCCATGCTGTGGCCGAGGGGTCAGCTGCATTGTCAGCCAGCGTCCGGCAGGAGGTGGCTCTGGCAGAGCCTGGGGACAGATGGGCAGGGCTGAGGGCCTGACACCACCTAGCTGTTAGGAGGACGGGGCTCACCCGGTGACCAGGTGATGAACTAGCTCAGTCTCCTGGGCAGTGAGGGTCCCGTGGGCAGGCAGAATCTCTGGGGCCACGGCCCCCCAGCTCCTGGGCCCCAGGCTGCCCCTAACTGCCTGGGGTTGCAGGACCTGTGGCATCCAGCACCTGGAGCGGGCGGGCGAGAACCTGTCCCTCCTGACCTCCTTCTACTTCTGCATCGTCACCTTCTCCACCGTGGGCTACGGCGATGTCACGCCCAAGATCTGGCCATCGCAGCTGCTGGTGGTCATCATGATCTGCGTGGCCCTCGTGGTGCTCCCACTGCAGGTGGGTCCTCCGGGCACCAGCACTGGGTGGCACCGGCACTGGGTGGCACCAGCAAAGGGACAGGCGGGCGCTGGCAGAGGGAGGGGGCTGCTGGGGCTATGGCACAGTGCAGGGGCCACTCCCAGGCGGGGACAGCGAGGCCAGCCGGGCGGTGCCTGCTCCGTTGCACGCCCCCACTGAGGGTCTGCGGCGGGTCTGGTGGTGCTCAGCGTGGTGGGTGATGATGGAGTCCCGTGAGCTGGTCTTTCCCTCTAGGGAGATGGTGGGTCTCCGGCGCCAGGGTGACCTGTCCCTCCCGGGCCCCAGGCAGAGTGCAGAGAGGGTTCAGGGTGGACAGCCGGCCCATTTCCCATCCACAGGCAGGTGCAGCAGCAGCTGCCAGGCCCACAAGGAGCACACCCCCTGGGCCACCCCAGCAGCTTCCCTGTCACCACTGCTGAGGCCCACTGCCCACTGAGCAGAGGAGGGGCCAGACCTCAGCAGGAACGGTGGAGGCCTGGAGAGGGCAGCTGCCCAGGGTGTGAGTGCTCAGGCCTGGACTGCCTCTGACACCTCCTCTGGGCACCCCAGCCCACCCTGGAAGGCCCCTGCTATCGGGGAGATGGGAGAGGGAGGGGCCCCCTGTGGGTGGTGGAACATTTTCTAGGAGCCTGGGTGGGAGGAGGAGCCCGAGGAGGTGGCCAGGGCCGTCTGGGAGTCAGACCCCCAGCTGGCTGCGGGATGCCAGGGAGACAGGGCAGTGCGTCCAGGGAGCCTCTGCCGACCCCGGTCTCAGCCCCAGCTCCCTCCCCATTAACAGCAGCGGGCATGGCACAGGTGTGGGCCCAGGCCAGGCCTGGCTCTTCCCCTCACTATATCCGAGTCAAAGCTGTGGCACCAGCTGTACGGCCCTCAGTGTGGGCCATGTTCTCCACCTCTGCTGGCTTCCTTTCCCCTAACTTCAGATGGGGGCGTGCGCGTCCTTCTACCTGGTTGTGGGCCACTCCACCACCCAGTGCCGCGAGTCCCATTCCTGTGAGCTGCCCACTCCTCTTTGGTCTGCCCCCCAGTTTCCGCTGATGAGCGAGTCTCTCTGTGTTCTAGAAGCAGCCAGCTGTGTGTGGCTTTCCCATTACTTCCTGCTCCATTGCCGCTCCTGTCACTTTGCTTACAGAATCTTCCATTCACAGATGGTCTTGACTTTTTTTATTTTTTTAATTAGAGATAGGGTCTCACTCTCATTTTGTTGCCCAGGCTGGCCTCGAACTCCTGAGCTCAAGCAATCCTCCCGCCTCAGCCCCAGAAATAGCTGGGATTACAGGCAGCCTGGCTTTGATTCAACAATCTTTCCCTTATGGTTTCTGTTTTCCTGTCTTGACTAAAAAGATCATTCCTTCCCTCGATCATACTCCTGGCTTCCTATTTTCTTCCAAAAGTGTAAAGCTCGCGTCTCACCTGGAGGGTTTCACCCACCCGGAACCACCGTGTGGGGTGGGGATGGAGCTGGGTTCTCCCCTCTGACGCCTGCTCCCCCACACCCTGCACTCTGCTCCTTTCTCTGCACATTTCATAACCAGGCAAGGGCGGGAGCGAGGGTGGGAGCGAGGTCAGGAGCACGGTGTGGGGGGCACTCCGTGCAGTGACACTGCCTCCCTCCTCAGCCCACCTGCCCCATCCATAAATCTTACCTCAAATTCTTTGCCTTCCCTCCTCAGCCCTCCTGCCCCAATCCATAAATCTCACCTCAAATTCTTTGCCTTCCCTCCT